TGGCTGGCTGCCCTGCCCCCTAGGAGGCCACAGCTGGCCGAGACACAACCTCCCCAGGACACAGCTCACACACAGAGCCCCAGACCAGGCCCGGCTGCACTTCCCCGGCTGCGGCTGGCTGCAAACCCAGAGCGCCTGCATGTGCACAGCTGTCCACGTAGTGCAGGAGGCTGAGGCTGCTGGACAGGGGAGTAGCTGACTCTGGGGCAGGCAGAAGAGCCAGGAACTGCTGCCCCAGGGCACAGGGTACAGATGGGAACCCAGGTGGCCACCGGGGTCAGTCTTAGTCCTGGGAAGTCACAGCTGCAGCCTGGACAAAGCCACACACATGACCTCACAGACATGGCTGTGAATGACACACACCAAGTCACACATCTGCACGGAGGCCACGCTCTGACACTCATATCCACATGGCACCAGGACACGGAGACTGAATGGTGGTGACTCTGCCTTCTCCCGCCACGGGACACCAGACAGCTGGCTGACCCTCAAGGCGCCATTGGGAGCCCTAGGCTCTAGTAGAAACCGGAGTCATGGGGTGAGGGGCACAAGCCAGCTGTTGCCATCTCCCTCCCCACCATGTCAGCCTATGTTGTCTGCAAGCTGGATTGGCCAGGAAGTAGCGGCTCGAGGTCCTGGACCATGCTCCACTGTTACCGTGCTGTGGCCCAGGGCTGGACGCTGCCTCTCCCAGCACCTCTCGGGCTGCGTTTCTGAAGCAGAGGCCCTTGGCTTTTGGGAAAGGCCGTAGTCTGCCTCAGCTTCCCCGGACTGGGCCACACCTGACAGGGCTGGTGGGTAATGAGAGGCAGCCAGCGGTGGAAGAGATGGAAGTGCGCCAGTAAGAACAGTGGGCATGAAGGAATGGTGGGCAAATGGGAATGACAAGGGTGAGAACACGGAAGTGGGCCCGTGTGCATGTGTGCAGGTGCACACGTGTGCCTGATGCACATAGGCGTTCCATGACATGCATGGCTCACCGAGGGCACTGTAAGGCCTGTGCATGCATGTGAAATGCTATGTATCTGGGTATTTATTTATTTGTTAAGCAACTATTTGTTGAGTACCTACTATGCACTGGGGACAAAGCAGTGTCCCCCAAAGGCAGACAAGAGTCCCTATTCTCATGGTGTTGGTGGTGGGGTGATATTCTAGCTAAAGAAGACAGACAGTAAGCAAGTAAACAAATAGATCATTGTTCCAGTAAGACCTCTCTGAGGATGCGACATTGAAGCAAGATTTGAAAGAAGTGAGGGCATGAGCATTCCTGGCAGAGGGACCAGCATGTGTAAAGGTCCTGGGGTTGAATTCCTCTGATCAGAAGTGGTGAGGAGACCAGATCGTGCAGCCATGCAGACCACAGTCAGGGTCTTGCCTTGTCTGCTGAGCAAGCTGGGACATCACCAAAGGGTCTCGTTCCGAAGAATGACATGACCTGACATAGGTTTCTTGGGCTCCGTGGCTGTTCCATGAAGAGGTGGGCAGGGGGAGGGCGGAAGCCGGCCTCCCCTGGAGGAGGAGGATACTGCAGTTACCTCGGCAGGAAGTGATGGCGGCTTAGAACAAGGCGGCACCGGTGGGGGTGTTGGAAAGAGGTTGCCTTCTGAATCTGTTTAGAAAGTACAGCTGAAAGCATTTGCTAATGGAGCATGCGGGGTGTGAGAGAGGAACCTCCAGGACTGTTGGGATTTTGACCTGAGCAATGAAATGGATGGAATTTCCATTTACTGAGATGGGAGGAGCAGGTTCACAGAAGGGAGGGAAACCCGAGGTGGGTTTCAGACAGGCTAAGTGAGGAGTACTGACTAGACAGCTGAGTGGAGAGCTTGAAAAGAGCAGCCGAAAGTCCGGGTTCAGTGGAGAGGGCCGCGCTAGGGAAAGTCAGACGTCGGTGGCAAAGACACAGAATTTCACAGCCTGGTGAGAGCCGGGAAATGAAGTTTTCAAAGGGGGAACAAGGGCTTGGAGAAATAGTGACATATCCAAGGTCACACAGCATGTTAGAGACACAGTCCCTGGCTCCCCAGGTCCAGCTGCCCATACCCCCTGACTTCAAATCTGGCCGATGAAGACATGGCCCTCTCTCACTTCCTCCCAAACCAATCACATTTCCGCACAGAGAAGGCCAGAAAGGTGGCGAGAGCTGGTGCTGGAGGAGGAAGCAGGAGCCACATCCTAGGACCCGAGGGCAGCAGGTGGCCTGGGAGAGGCATAGCAAGAGCATGACGTGTGCAGGCTCGCGTTTGAGGAAACTTCCTCTCTGGGGTGGAGGGAGGATGGGGTGGAGCAGCCGCTTAGCCGCCATGGTGGCTCATCCACCACCAGTCACTCTCCCTGTAGCTCTGAGAGGTGGCCAGACTGCAGCCAGGGTCCCCACTGAACAGATGGGAAAACCGAGCTCAGAGGCACGTTCCCACGCTCGCATGGCAAGTCAGCAGTCGACCAAGTTCTGGCTCAGTTCCCGGACTGTTTTACAGCTCGGGAAACCGAGACCCAGGGCAAAGACTCACTCAAGGTCACACGGAGAGCAGGAGGCAGGGCTGGCCCCCAGTCCATGAGCACCCGCCTAAAGAGACCCAGCCCCGCGTCAGCTCCCTCGCCCAGCCCACTGACACTCACTTTCCCCCCCGGGGGAAAGTCGAGAAGCTAGGTGCCTCCATTTGAACAAGCCGGGGAACCCAGGATGGGGGGAGGGAAGAAGCAGAAATTAAATTAGTTTATTTCGTTTGAGCAACTTTTTGAAGGGGAAGCAAATCTGACACCGAAGTGCTTGCGGAGACTCCAGGCGGCTTTGAAAATCAGTCACAATTACTGAGCCTCCTGATCCGGGCTGGGGAGGGCGGGCCGACATGCGGCAGCGGGGTCCGGGCAGCTTTGGAGATCAGAGGGAGCAGGGACACAGCTTGGGACTTGAAAGGCAGCAGCGCTCGCAAATTAAACCACTCACGGCTTAAAAGGGAAGGGAAGTGTGCCGCGGGCCTCCGATGAGCCACGCTGCTCAGGAGGGCATGCCAGCCATGCCGGCCTAATGCACCGAAGCAGGTCCTCGGCGGCTGGAGGGAAGCCTGTCTCCTGCCTGACCTTGGCAAGTCCCTGCCTCTCTCTAGACCCCAAGTTCCCTCATGAGCCTGGAGGGGGGTTCATTCATGCAACAGATATTTATGGAGTGCCTACGTGTGCCAGGCACGGTTCCAGGTGTTGGGGAGCCTCTGGAGGCATATATACGGCAGCAGGGGCAGAGGCGGGGAAGGGGACAACAGCGAATGTCTAATATGCCCAGTGGTGTGAGAGCCGTGCAGAGAAAGGGGACCGGGAGTGTTGTACGTGTGTGTGTTTGTGGGAGGGTGCTGTTTTAAAGAAGGGGGTCAGGGAAGGCCTATCTTCTTATAAGACAGTTGGACAAAGATCTGCATGAAGGGAATCAAGGAGCTATGTGAAACAGAGGTAGTTTTGGTTTTTTTAATTGCTATTATTTTTAAATTTCTTTCTTCCATGAGTGAGAGAGACAGAGAGAAAGGGA